ATAGAGGAGCATGGGATACTTTGGATAAGATAGATTTTACTTACGATCCCTTCAATGCTTGGCTGAATAGATCGTATGAAAGGACTTGTAAATGGCTTCAATGTTTAACCTCTTCTGCTGTTAGTCTATCCAGTTCTTCGTAGAATAGCTAACGTTCTCCCGGCGTCGCGTTTATCGCTTGACCGTTGTCGAGATCTTGAATTGAAGTTGATACTTGCTCTTGTGAATTCAGCGTTTACCATTGAATTGGTATATCCATTGAGAATTCCTCAGGTTATCCTTAAGAATATTCAGATTAATATTCTCCAGAAACTTCCTGTTGAGGGTGGGAATACAGTTTAGACTCGTGTACCCATTGGAGTATTCCACTGTTCCATAGTGCAAAACAGAAAAGTTTACTGTCTCGCTCGGCGAGACAGAGTTTTCTGTCTCGCTGGGCGAGACAGTGTTTTCTGTCTCGCTCGGCGAGACAGAGTTGTCTGTCTCGCTCAGCGAGACAGAGTTTCCTGTCTCGCCCGGCTGCTATATAAGTCGGGACTTAGGGTTTTTAGGTTTTTTACGTCGGATTTTGGCGATTTTTTGGGCGATTCTTGGGCGATTTTCGACCAGTTTTCTTCTATTTCTTCTCCTCTTTGTTGCCGACTTGGGAGGTGCTCTTGTTTGGGAAGATTTCACTCAGATTTCAAAGGTTTGTTCTTCCCCTTTTCTCCAAAATTTTGACTCTCCTTCAACTGTGACTGTGCATGCATCATTTCGGTTGTATTTGTCCTATTTTTTGTCGATTTCATGTTCAAAATCTTAACCTTCCTCTTGGATTTCAATGTAGATCACATACTCATCATGTCGCCACGTAGAGCTCGAGGGAAGGGAATCCGACCGACTGTTCAGAGCCCTGAGGAGGCTGCCCCTGCTGCACCCTCACGTGGAGGTATATTTCTTTCACCTTTTCACGAATTTAAATATTGTATTTCGTCCATTCCATATGTATGTTCCTATTTTTGCTTGCAGATCCTCGTTTGTATCCTTTGAGGTACCTTCGAGAAGAGCCGGTATCCTCCTTTGAGGGGATCGACGCTTAAAAGTGTTTGTTTTGCTTTGACAAAACACACTTCATAATACACAGGGGCGATTTTACATCATCCCATATGCATTGAAAGGTTTTGGTATGCCGTTATAATACCCGCATACCTCCTTTATACATATGGTGGATAGAAAATCGTCACACCTGTTATGAGATAACGACTATATCTTATAGAATGAGATATACCATTTTTCTCTAAAATTTTAGGATGACACTTACACAATTTATGTGTATGCCTCTTTTATCAGTCCGATTTCCTTCTACCATATTTACTGCTGATGTGATTACTGGCCGGAGTAGCGTGACCCACTCTTATTACGAGGGGATCCCGTTAATTGAATCCTCTCCCCAGTTTAAATCTGATTATAGCGGAAGTGATAGAGAATTAATCCAGCGAGGTAGTTGTCGTGTTCTACGACGATTAATCACAGATGCGCCCTTGATCTCGGAGCAAGACTCGAATCAATGCATAAGGAAGCCATATTTCTTGTTTGGTGATTCGGTGAAAGATCCGAAGATTGCTTTCTGCCAGCGTGCGCAATGGTTGCACCAGAATGGGTCCTCATTCTTATATCTGCCTTTTATCCCCCGGGATCACTCACTATTAATGTTCAGGAATCTATCAGTTGGACGTGAGATGTTCTGGAAGTTGACTGAAAACCACGAGCGTATTCATTGTGGTTTTATTGGGAAGGAAGCCAACCCAGGCTCCAGTGAAAGAGCTCATGTGCGGGGGCTTCATCCGGGTATCTTAGGACAAGATAATATACCTCAGAATGAGAAGATAGTGCAAGCCAACACCGTGAAGAACCGGTTAGCGGCAGCGGGAAAAAGATTACCCAAAGAGACTTTTAGATGCTATGGATGGGTCCATTATTCTGGGGACAAATGGTGGTGGACCAGGATGACCCGATATGTGTTAAACCGCTTTGGGCGAGAGTTAGCAGAATTAGGGTTAGATGTCCCGATTCGTGCCACCATCAATGGCCTACAGAGTAGTGTGGGTCATTTCCTCTGCTTGTTCGAGATCTATAACCCGGACACTAATACATTCTTTACCAAGAACGGGGAACTCGGATTACCACTGCATGAAATGATGCAGGTGTCTGGTTTGCCTATGGGCGATGTTCCCTATCAAGAGTTCTTTCCAACTAGCAATCAGCTGAACAAGATGAAAGATAGCTCAACTGTGACTCATGATACTTTATGGGAATTGACTTGCCATTATCATATAGCCATGGCCGAGATGGAGCCCAAAGCCAGAAAGAAATCTCCTCAGGTCAGCTTAAAACAATTCGCTGACTACCTCTTCAAGAACCTGGATGTCCGTTCGGCAGATGTGTGCGGATTGTCTCCTTTGAGTACGGATGAAATTAACCGTCTGTTAGAGAAAACCAACGCGCAATCTTATACTTCGCGCTCAGAAGATGGATTTTTGCACGGCACTAAGTTCCGCTCTTATCTGTGGCAAGCTGGTGTTCCGATTAGCCCTACTGCTCTGCTGGCGGGTTTTCTAGCCTTATGGTTAAAGAGATGTGTAGTTCCTCATCAGTCCGCAGATGCGATGCCAATGGAAGTGTTGTATCCGGCCGTCCAGCTAGTTACAGGTCGCAAATTATCTTTGCTTCCCGCTATGGTGGCCGATATTCATAGTGGATTACGGCAATTAATCTCCGTGTTTACTCAGGAGAAAAAGAAACCCTGCTGGTGTTCCGATTAGCCCTACTGCTCTGCTGGCAGGTTTTCTAGCCTTATGGTTAAAGAGATGTGTAGTTCCCCATCAATCCGCAGATGCGATGCCAATGGAAGTGTTGTATCCGGCCGTCCAGCTGGCTACAGGTCGCAAATTATCTTTGCTTCCCGCTATGGTGGCCGATATTCATAGTGGATTGCGGCAACTAATCTCCGCATTTACCCAGGAGAAAAAGAAACCTTCCGCCAGCCTGTCCGTTCCGAAGCTGGAGCTGCCCTATACTTACTTAATGGCCTGGTTGGTACTTCATCGACCAGATTTAATGGAGGCTCCTGATACGGTAGATCTCAGTGTCCCTCTGTTGCAAAATCTCGAGAATTGCAAATGGAGCAAACATCGAGAGCCGGACATAACGAGGCAGTTTAAAATTCACAAATGTTGGGAATTTTTTCCTTGCTTCCCTCAGTTCTCCGGTACTTACAACACTACCTTAGTGGATGCTGAAGACCCAAGGCAGAATCGTACCATCTTGGATGTCGGGTGCTTCAGATGGTTGATGAATATTCGACCTGGATATCTGTTGTTCAGGATAAGGGATGTTTGCCACATCGAACCCTATCTTCCATGTCGATTCGCCCGTCAGTTCGGGTATGATCAGATATACATCGGCAACCCGAATCGTCACCTCAGCTTTCGAGGTGGACTTATCGACGGGGCGAGAGCTTGGTTTTGGAGCATTGCTGGCTGCACAAATGTTGAATTTGATCTTCCTTTAGAGGCGCCGCCCCTAAGGATGACCTTTCTCTTCTGCAAATGGCTGATAGCCACTAATATTGCCACTCGACGTAGAAGGATATCAGACTCGGAGGAAGAAATAGCTCCCCGGCAAGCAACAGAACCGACCCGTGAAGCTGTGATGTCGCCTCGAGGAAAAGAGGCTGCTGAATCATCAAGGAAAGGAAAGGAACCGGCTCTCCCAGTTGATAGTGAAGAGGAGTTTGATAGTGAAGCAACCGAAACTTCAGAAGGGGAAGATGAGAATGAATCAAGTTCTGAGGAAGTATCTGGCCTTCCCGATTCATTCTTTGATAGAGGACTTGTAAGGCCTTCTGTCGCTCCGACCCAACCACAAGCTGCTCCAAAGAAACGTAAGGAAAGAGTCGTCATGGAACATCCTAACCGGATGACGGTAGAAGTTCTTAGTTGCGACGAAGAGGATGAAGAGGATATGGTGCCTCTCATTCGTCGGCAAATATCTCGAACTTCTAATCAAGCTCAAACTCAAATTTCTCCCCGAGCTGAGTTACACACCAAACATCGTCATGAAGGTTCTGATGCACGCCCTCTGAAGAAACAGAAGAAAGTTATTTCTAAACCGCGCGTTCATCTTCCTGCTGTAGAAGAGGCGTCTGGTCGTAGTGCTTCTTCTGATGAGCAAGGTAACGATTTGTTTTTATAGCTTTTACACTTTTTGACGTTCAAACTTATTTCATGTTCAACTTCTGCAGGGAGTCGAGAGGAAGGAGAATTGTCAGCTGATGCTGCTTCTCCCGGAGGTATGGAAATTGAGGAAACAAGCTTCGTCCAACAAATGCATGATGCTCTGAAGGAAGGATCGGCTGATGTTCCACCCACTCCTGACGTTGATCCATCAGCTGCGGACACAGGTACTGATCTTTCTCCTCTCGGAAGAGAAATCCGAGAAATGAATGAGTCGGACCGTGTGCCTCCTCTAATGACCTGTGCGCTTTCTCTCCTTTTAGTCAAATTAAAAGAAGCAGGTACCAGTAGTGGAGCTCTCGAATCAGCCCCGACCAACGAAGGTAAAATTAATTGTCTTTTTTGAGCAAATTCGTCTAAATTTATGTGTCATTTACGACTCAACACATTTTGTAGATGTCACAATGCACGAATCTGTTGGAGGAGAGACCACGCATACAACAGAGGTCGAGGAATTCAATGAACATCACCTCGATTTCAATCTCTCTGAAGGCGACCATGAGTATATCTCCGACTTACTATCGGGGAAAACTCCTGGTGCAGCCACGGAATCCAACGTTGGAGTCGGTCCAACAGAAGCAGGTCCTTCTGAAAGTAAGACCTTTATTCTGTAAACTCCATATATGCATACATATATATTTTAACTTGATTAACCATATAAGTATTTGAATTATAGGACCAGTTGCTGGAACTGATACTACTATAATCATTGGTACATCTGATCGACTGGAGGGTAGTGAACTTGTGCCGTGGACAAGAACCGAAGTTGATTTGCAATCATCAGTTCTTGAACCTCAACCTTCTACTCCTATGGACCCCATGATGATAGAAGTCACTGTCACTCCCCAGATTAGTCCAGTTGCAACAAAAGCGAGACCAACTGAAGAAGTTGGTACATCGGCCGATGTTGTGACTAGAATTGGTGAGTTTCATTTATCGTTTGTTTCAAGCTCGGATTATCATTATGCTCATTGTAATCCTCCTGTTTGTAGAATCTCCTCTTAAAGAGTCTCTTAGTTTGGACCCGCCGTCCTCTGAGACTTTAGTTGAAAAAGTCCCTGATGTAGCGGGTGCATCAACAGCTACCATTCCTGAACCAATCTTGACTGTTCAGGAATCCAGATTATCATCCTTGAGCGAACCAAGTCATGCTGAAGGTTCTTCCGTCGAATTTGGTATGCTTTAGTTTGTTGTCTTGTATGCATATATATATACTGTACTGACTTATTTGACTTTCTCGCAGTTCCTTCATCATTATCAACTCAAATCCAAGCGTTATTGGTTGATGACGATCCGGACAAGTCTGTTATCTGCTCTAATCTCCAAGGCTTCATCTCCTTTTTGAACTCTATGGTCGATCGCATTCTCTTCAAAAGATCGTATTTTGAGAATTATAAAAAATCTTTTGAGCGTTTTATATCAGGGTTCAGAGAGGAAGGGTATAACGACTTAGCCGATTCAGTCACCGCTTATTTGGTTGATTTGAGGCAACATATTGAACTTCTGCAAACTCTTCGCACCAAAGGCGTACCTTTTTACATCGCTTCTCATATGGAATCCAGGCTGCAAGCGTGGCGTAATTCTCAAGAATCTGCCAACTCTGAACTCCAACAATTAAGAGCCCATAGTCACCAGCTTAGGGTGAATATTGGCAAAAGGACACAAGCCAAGGTCAACCTACGCCGAGATATAAAATCGAGTCGAGCGGAAATAGCTCGCTTAGAGGAGGAACTTGCAATGGCCAAGGATGCTCTTGATGTCTTGGAGTCTGAGTTGACGCAGGAAATTCATGTTGAGGAAGACCTGTTACAGCAACTGAACTTTCAAGATAAAATAATTGCTGAGAAGGAACAAGAGGTCGCCGCGCTTCAAAGTGTTGATGAAGAAGCTTTCAAAATTAAATTGACGGCTGAGCTTGAACAGACTTATGCGTTAGAGCTGTCAAAACTTGAAAATCAAATTAGTCAATATAAACTCTTGTAATCGGAGAACATTATATTTTTGTTTGTAGCTTTGTTTGAAAATTCTTGGTCAATATAGTGAACCTTTTTGCTCATTATATTGAATCTTTTTGCTCATTGAGGTTTTTTATTATGATTACTCATTCTTATTTAGAATAAATAACCATAATACTTATAGGATTTTTGGCAAATCCTCAGCCATCAACGGATTTGATATACCTTTACCGATTACCGTTTGAATCGGGCTAGTATGTGAATTATCTAAGTCCGTTTCACATATAACGTTGCGCTAAAAGAATTAAACTCTTTTAGACTTTGAACTACACTGTTGAATATGTAGGCTACATGTGTTAGATGTAGGCTTATCTCTAATAAGGGATAGAGATAACATCCCCCATGTGTGAACAACATGGATTTCAAAGTGTGAATAGGTTGCATTTCCTATATAGGACAACGAACCCAAAATCGGAGAGAAAAAGAATTGTATATTCCATTTCTCAATCTCTTGTTTGTTGGTAGAGATAAACCCATACTCGGAGAGGAAGAATTTTATATTCTATCTCCTGGTCTCTTGTTTGTTGGTAGAGATGAACCCAGAATCGGAGAGGAAGAATTTTATATTCTATCTCCTGGTCTCTTGTTTGTTGGTAGAGATAAACCCAGAATCGGAGAGGGAGAATTTTATATTCTATCTCCTGATGAAAAGGAAACTCACAGTGGAATCTCCACTTAGAGAAAATAGGTTGGTTTGAATAACCCTAACTGTCATAAGGTTTGATTACTCAATTCAAAAGTAAACCTTTCGTTCGCAAAAATGAATCGAAAGGAGATTTTGGTTGTGGTCCTAACTGTAGTAAGGTTTGACCAAGTGGGAATTTTGAGACGATCCTAACTGTAGGAAGGTTTGATCGCTCAATTTGTGGACCTCTCGTTCATGGAACGAATCGAGAGGGGATTTTGGCTTTGGTCCTAACTGTTTAAAGGTTTGACCAAGTGAGGAATAGGAGTAGGGTGCAAATAACAATGAGTTTGTTGATTTGCACAAACTAATCGGTGGGAAATTTTGATTTTAAACATAAGAATTTGACACGAAATAATCTGTCGACTGATACATACTGATGATCGTTGATCAATCCGACCGATGGGGGTTTCATAGCGTGAGATTACAAATCATCAAATCTCATCTTCCATGATTATATTACAAGGTTTTGCTGAGGAAAGATTAACTATCATTAAATCTCATCTCAACAAAAGTTGTAAAAGAACAGTGAATTATTCAAATGACCAGCTTCTCATTTAAAATAGTGAACTGATCTCGGGTTATCCTGAAATATCCTATATAGGATTCTCTAGGAACTTCCCGCTTTACACAGGTTATCCTGAATATATTACGGATAATATTTTTTCAGGAACTTCCCATTTATTGGCATCATCAATTTGTTGCCATCTTGGGTAACCAGGCGATATGCACCGTTCGAATAGACTGTTTCTATCACAAACGGTCCTTCCCATTTAGGTTCAAATTTGCCTTTCTTCTTAGAAGTGAGAATCATAGGTCTTCGAACGGCGAGAACTAGATCTCCTTCTTTAAAGCTTCGTCGTCGGACCTTTTTATCGAAAGCCCGAGAAATTCTAGCTTGATAAAACTCGATTTGTTGTTGAGCTTCCAAGCGTTTCTCATCTAACATCTCTAATTCCTCGAGACGTTTCTGATGATGTTCTTCCGTCGTCATTCCCGTTACGAGAGCATGTAGTTTTGACTATTTCAACACTGTCTCGCTGGCGAGACAGCAAAGACTGTCTCGCTGGCGAGACAGCAAAGACTGTCTCGCTGGCGAGACAGTTCATACTTGTTTTGATTTTTCCAAAACAGTATGAAATCCTTTCTTGTGAATTTTTGAGTGATCCTCTCTATGCTTGGGATATCTATTAGCATTTTTTGACGCCTACATATGTCCCACTGAACAGTGCATCACGAGACAGGGAGACGACATATCACCCGTGCATCACGAGATAGGAAGACGATATGTCCCACACAGGATCACCTATTTTGAGGTAAGTATAGCAGTACTCCTTTCCAAATATTAAATAGTTAAGGGACTAATATCGATATTAAAATAAAAAAACCGTCTTCGCTTTTATGGACAAATTTTCAAAATCGACCCCTTTGGGTTTTTAATTGCAAAAAACGACCGGTTTTGAAAATATTTACAAAAACCGACCTGTTTTCAGCCAGGAAGTTGAACTCCCGTGAAGTTTTTCTCATAAAACTTTACGGGAGTTGAACTCCCGTGAAGTTTGGGAAAAAAAGTTTTAAAAACCGACCCAGTTTCAACCAACTGGGTCAGTTTTTATAAATAAGATTGAAATGGATCGTTTTTTGCAATTAAAAACCCAAAGGGGTTGGTTTTGAAAATTTGTCCTCGCTTTTATTTCTCTCGCGCGCGGCGACAAAAAAAAAATAACCCTAGCTCAATCAACAATCTGGGGTTAGGGTTTTCGAAGCAATGAGAGTGAAGAAGCAGAAGCGGCATCGCAAGGTGGTGAGATTCTACGCGGCCTGCTTCGGATTCAGAGAGCCCTTCAAGATTATCTGCGATGGGACCTTCATCCATCACCTCATCGCCCACGATCTCACCCCCGCCGACGACGTCCTCTCTCATCTCGTCGGCGCCCGAGTCCTCCTCTTCACAAGCCGGTACCTTTCTCTCTCTACCCTCAAATCTCTTGAACAAAAACTGTGTCTCTGATGAAACTTGAGTGTCGATTGTGTAGATGCGTGATTGGGGAGCTCAAGAGCCTCGGAAAGGACTATGCGGAGTCTCTTCAGGCTGCTCAGATGCTTGTAACCGCTAGGTTTGTGTTGGTTTTGGGTTTTTTTAAAAGGAATTTGGGGGATTTTTTTTTAACTTCCTGAATGGTGGCTTTGTGTTTGGGGCAGGTGTGATCATGAGGAGAAAAGGGTGAGTGCTGAGAAATGTGTGGAGTCGATTATCGGAGGGAGCAATGCGGAGCACTTCTTTGTTGCTACTCAAGATGCTGAAATCCGGAAGATGTTCCGGGAGGTTCGAGTTTTTAGTGCTAATTGTGGCCTGAAATTACGTTATAGAGTCAATTTTTATTGTTCAATGACTTGTCTTTCTTAATTGGTATGGCAAAATTGAATACGTATTTGTTATAGAGTAAAATTTTTTTGTTCAATGACTTATATTTGTTAATTGGTACGGCAAAATTGAATACATATGAAAGAATGTGATGAACTAGTTAAGGAGGAACGCTTCTCGATCTAAGTGTAGAGAAAATTTAGATATAATAAAGATGTATGGATTTAAGTAAGCCATGGAGCTTGAACAGCCCATCGAAAAAAACTTGAGGTACGAAATAGCATGAAGAACATATCTGATGTTCTGAGAGGTGGGATTATTACGAGCAGTAATTTTGGTTTGGAATTCCTTTTAAAGTGTTAATTTTTGTTGTTTAATGGCTTATCTTTGTTAGGTATGAAAAACTTTGATGTATGTGAGACTATGATGAACTAATTAGGGAGGAACGAATCCATATCCAAAATAGAGATGATGGAGTTGAGTAAGATACAGTGCTTGAATATCCATTAAAGAAAACCAGGGCTAACATTTATGATGAATAAGCTCAGCCAAAGAAAAAAATTATGCATATTTGCATTCAAGGACATGCTCATGGTCTTACAACTAAACTGAGCTTTCCTTGCAAACACCAGCTCTAACAAGCTTTGAAATATTTAGTTTGCATTGCATTTAAGTTATCCAATGTGATAGTGCATTATCTCCAGTATTCAGTAATTCTTTATTTCATTTTTCTCTTATCTTACAGATTCCGGGCGTGCCTGTGATATATGGTTTGAGGAACTCCTTGTTTATTGAGCAGCCCTCGACACATCAACGGGAATTCGTCAAATCTACAGAGGAGAAGCGCTTGCATATGAGTGACTCAGAATACCAAAAACTACGAAAGATTAAATTAAAAAATAAATTGGAAAATCCAGTAGATTCGCCTGATGCGCAAGATGATTCCGGCAACGAGCTTGTGACTATTCCGGAGAAGAATATTGCAAGAAGAATGCTTGCTGTGACAGATAAAAGTAAATTTAAAAGAAAGAGAGCAAAGGTTAGATTTTGCAGTTAATATCTAACATGTATATGTGCATACATTAACATGTATATGTGCATACGTTACTCACGAGCATGTGCATTGTTTATTTATCACGGTAGAGCACTGGAGCAAGTTTTTGTAACTGGATTTCATGATATACATCTCTGATCTCTCTTTGGGCTATAGTATACACATTCGCTGCATCAAATTCTTACTTTTGGATGCCTGCTGCTGTTGTCCATACCTATGTAGCATGGCCATCACCTTTATTATTTGACAGTAAAGCTGGAGTGTGAAACATTTCACATTTAAAATTTTCATGCTTGTTTACACTTGTGGAGATTATTGCAAATACTACTTTGAAATGAGGGAATCAGATAGGAATATAATTTCAGTTGAGGGTGCTTTTCGTATATTTGTTCAATTAGCTCTTTTCAACTTTTTTTTAATGGTCACTCGTTAAATTCTCTCTACTAATACATACATTCTTCCATCTTGTTGTATTGTCTTTTGTTTCAACTGTGTATAGTAATTAATTTTGGGATGTCCTTTAGGATGTACTTTATTTAGGTATATGGTGGGACGGGAAATTACAATTTTGTTTATCACAGCATCCACAATATTTTTACAGTATACAAGGTACTACTCTGTGATATGTGTAAAAATGAGTGTAGCAGAATTGAGAATGTTAGGATGGACTTGTAGGTATACTATATACTGATCAATATGATAACAAACGAGAGATAGGAAGTTGCTCCAATCAAGAAATAGACGGGAGAGAATTAATTGAGATGGTATGACTATGTGCAATGGATGCCGCTAAATGTACCTATTAGAACTGATGAGATTAATATTAATGGAGCAAGGATGACGAGAGGGAGGCCTAAGAGAACTTGGTTGGAAGCAATTAAGGAGATGATAGTGGTTAACTCAATGTATGAGACAGCCCTCAGCAGAACTGAATGGAGAATAGGATTCATGTAGTCACCCCAAAATTTGGGATAAGACGTTATTGTTTTTATAAATATTTTCTTTTATAAGCATGAGATTGAGGTTTTCATGAGAGAAATGATGTTGATACAGTAGACCAGAGATGAAAGGTTGCACAGGTTTTGTTCCTGAGAAAAAAATGCTTGTCAGTGTTGAAATAACTGAATCTTGGCAGTGTAAATATTGTGAATAAACGAAAATTCTTCTATCAACTGAAACATTTCTAACTAATATACAAGGAGAGCAATTTCTTATCTATGCGAAAGGTGCAGACTATTTTCTATTTGATATATTCAAACATGGGGCAATGCTATCAATTATCCTGCATATATGCACGTATTTTTTATTTTTTAAGTCTAGTGACTTGAAGGTGGCTGTAGTGAAATTCTTGAGGATATTCTGTCATTCCTGAAGAAAGTGGGTGAACGTCTTTCTGCTCTTGAAGGGGTTCTCAATTGCTAATCAGGTCTCAAGCTTACTAGCATTGACATACAGCAATTCTAATAGTAACTTTTAGATGTCCATTCTTCATGGTGGTATTACATTACTTCTTTGTTTGTTTACTTGTCTATGCGAGCATTTGTATACATGCTTTGCGTTGAGTTTCTTCTACAAGTGGTTGATTACTGATGATCATATTCAATTGACTAAAAACCTTGCAGTGGACCTACAATATTATTTTCAGTTGCCACTTTATGACATATCTAGCTATTGATTCCTTTAAGTCTTATAATTTGTAGCTACGAATCAATTAATCATCTGGTATATTGTTTACCTTCTATAATTATTGTTGGTGGTGTCGGTAACAGTTATAAGTAACCATGTTACATGATGTTTTACAGGGTCCAAATCCGCTTTCATGCAAGAAAAAGAAAATGATAGGTGACTCAACCGCTGCAGAAAATAAGGTAGTTAATTTATATCTTTGTTTTTCTTATTGGCGGTTAATTGTGGATAGACCCCCCTCTGCACCCATCATTTTGAACTTACTACCCCTTCTACTTCTATTGTTGCAGATAGACCCTTGAGTGATTTTTTTTTAATCTTTTACCCTCAGGCAAAGTGATAACTGTCTCTTTGTCAAATAGACACCGTAGGGTAAAATAGTCAAAAATTTCACTCTGGTGGTCTATCTACAACAATAAAAAAGGAAGTAAGTTCAAAACGACGACAATACTGGGGTCTATTTGCAATTTATGTTCTTTTGTTAAGCTGCAATCACAGATCTCGTTTCATATGATGCCTTGTGCAGGATGGCGAAACTAGTGGCGGTGCTAAGAGAAAGAGGACGAGGAAACGCAAGAGAATTCAAAAGGATAACAATCTGGGAGAGTCTGGGTGTTAGTCGCTGTTGTTGCATTTCTTACTAAATTTTGCAACGGCATATTCTTCTAAGCCCAATTTCCTAGCTTGTGAGGACCATTGTGAGGCGAAGATGAATCTGAAGAAATAGCCACCATTTTTGAAATAGGCAGGTGGATGAGGCCCGTTTTATGGCAGGGGAAGGCTTTTAGTTTGATTTTTGTCATGAAATGTTTTTTGAGGAGATAATGGTTTATGTACGCAGACGCGTTACTATGTTTGTACTCGTTTCTGAGAGAAAGACAAGTTTCTTGTTTCTTTTTGTGAGATTATCTACAGTGTTCTTTTTTTTCTTAAAGATATTAGAAATCTATTTAGTGGTGAGACCACGTTGTGCACGTTGTATAGGCAGGGAACACTAATTGCACGAAATATTCTTATTATTTTTTTCTCTTCTTTAATTAATGTGATCACGAATTTTTCCTGTTTTATCAAGGGTATTTTCGCTGCTGATAATTTTTTTCACAGACGTGTGGCTTGTTTAAAATGCAGCATTACGCTTCATTTAAAGTCGTGAGCATTACGTAATTTGGTGAAAAGAAGAGCAGATACGCGAGAAGAAAATTTGTGTAGAATTGAATGTTTTTTAACGTCAGGGGTAAAAAAGCTTATGTTCATTAATTTAATATATATTGCATCTTTAGGTTGCTTGATTGCTGAGAACCAATACCTGAATCAGCAGATTATTTTCTTCAGGAAAAACAATTGAAAAAACCGAACTCTAACAAAATGAACAAATTACCAATCTTTAAAAAGACTGGAAATTAATGGAGAAAATATGCCCGCAAGCTTTTCACCAGATGATGCCTCAGCCTGAGCAGATATCGTTTGCTTCATCTAGAACTAAAAGCTCCACAGAACAAAGACACAATATGAATAACTGCTTTTAATTCTTCTCGCGTCCGAAGATTGTATTCACAAACTAATTTTCTCCAATCCTGCATAAACCAGAAACCACTCCCTCCATAACTTGTAATCATCTTTTGGTATATTAACAATAAACGTACAGACCTCCTGTAGCCAAATGTTACAAAGGGCAACAAGGGCTCGAATCAAAGGTTCTCCATCAACCAACTCTTACAAAGGCAACAAGCAATCAAAGTTAGTATTCCAGCCTCCAGAGTCCCCAGCAGCAAAGGAGCTTCTCTTAATCCCCAGTATAAAAGCCACAAGGTAAGGGGGTTTAATTTTCTAGCGTATCATCGATCCAGAATATCCTTAAATAGATATTTCTGCAAATGACCGTTAGAAGAAGAATTCTGGAGGTCGGCCAAGGGAGAGCAAAAGAATGACAACTCCACTAACTGTGCATATGTATTGGTCAGTGAATCAGTCAAGTCAAAAAAATTCTTGAAGGGCAAGCTTTAACTCTTGCGTAGACTTTGCTATAGACCCTCCTCTCCTGTTAAAAAGAAAATAGTTGAAAAGAAAAACCCAGAGAGAGAAAAAGATAAGATCTAGAGCACTATAGGTTGCTCTCCCATTATATGTAAAAATTGGTCAAGATTTTTAGAATAACAAGAAAAAGGATTAGGATTAATTGCAGACGCGCCCCTGGTATTGTGAAGGTGAAGCCACTGATACCCCCTAACTACTTTATTAGCACTTACACCTTGAACTTCAGATGACACAATATAGAACGTCAGAAAACATTATTTCCCAAGTTAGGTTGGGATGCCATGCGAGGACCATATAATGATAAATTACCTTTGTCCTCAGTTTAACTGGAAAAGAAGACTAAATTTCCCTCTAAATTGAAGCCAAAAGTAATCCCGTCTGGGATTAAGGGAATGTAGGTGCTAATAAAAAAAAGTTTACGGGTCGCAGGGTGACAACACCAAACTACAAGGTTGTATTGGCAAATAAATTAGGAAAAGGATAGCATATTAATTTAAAGAGGTCTCAAATGACTGCTCACCTTGTGAGAGATGGGATAACGTGCTTGATCTTTTCCAACTCAATAAAGCACAAGTTACAACGCTCAAGCCTACATGAAAACAGGAACATGGTCATTCAAAAATAGCACTTTGCCACCAAGAGGAAATTGCAGCCAAATGAAAGAAAACAAACCGATTCTCAGCTTCAAGGTCAACCCCAACCAATGGAGGTCCTGATACAGTTGAATGGATAACAGGACCAAAAACCCTCACCAGCTTCAACAGCATCTCCATAGAAACAGTCAAGTGCCTGAAGTCACTCAAGGTTAATATGCAAGTATCATATCAAATGAAGTTCAAATTTTCAATCTAGATTCTAGAAACAACTCCACAAAGATTTTGTTAAGGAGAACATTAGAGCTGATACGCTCGAAACATAATGTAGTAATCCAAGACAGAATGTAGTCAACTGAGATAGGTAACAAGCAGCAAGTTCACAGGGATTCTCCTTTTGTAATGTGCTCAGGGTCTGGTTGTGTTTGAAATATATTAAACCATTCAAAAACAATGATGATATAGTTACGAGACAAGGAATAGAGGAATCATCAAAGGGGAAATGGGGAAATATTTAAGGATGTCATGATTGACAACAACTCCCCTCTGAACTTAGGTTGGCTGATGCAAAAGCTAAGAAAAAAATTTCAGTTCAACAAGTCACAGAAGATACCAGCAGTTCTTTGTGAAACAAACCTATACATTATATTTGAGGCAAGGCAATCACTGAGAGGAAATTTCATACCTATCCATATCACTCCCTAGAAGGCTTGTGAGAAGGGGCAGAAGAATAGTGCATATGTCCAGTGTTACAATATCACTTTTATCAATTAAAACGCTGACAACATCAGCAGAGACCTACAGGATGAAATTATAAACATAATGGTTAGTACTTTGTTAATTGAACAATATAAAAGCTCCACAAAAACCTACAGCATGATCCGACATCTTTTCCAACGCACTGATGAGACCCCTTATATCTTTCCTTTCCCATAACCGCTGAACAACCTGCAAATTGTAAATAAAGAATCAGACACTTGCTGTAGATGAGTAAATTGAAGTGCTCCACTTCACAAATCACTTCTCATCACCTCTTCTTGTATATCATGGGTCATTGTTAATTCAAAAAATAGGGGTGAAAGCCAGCAGAACAGAGCATCATTATTGTAGAATCACCCAGAGTGAAGAAAAAGATTGAAGACAGTGTGTCAAGTTAAATATGTGGAGCAAAGTCAATGTGCATGCATTATCCGTATGGACGAAAAGTATACTTCCGTTTAGGTAATCCATCAGGAGGCAAGAAACAAGCAACAAGCTGATGGATCTAGCATCTTTAATGAACCAAGAACAACATTATGTTGTGATGTTGCTAGCCTTCCACCCTCTTTATATTCATGCACCGCCATTAACACTCCACACGCATCTACCTATTCATAGTCCTCTAACCTACAAGCTTCATGGCTCCCCTCTGATCATTGGAACTTGTAATTTAAAGTTGCAACAAACATGACATCCAAATTTTGCAACAATCATGATGTTGAAACTGTACTATCCTCTCTCACTTGCGTGCTCCAATAGCAACTGATAGTGCATTGTTAATTTGCAGTCTTTTTTCCTATTCGCATACTGTTTCCTCCCTCATATACCAGGACTTCACAATGCTAAAGCCCGAGAAGAACAAACATGACATTGCTGTTCTTTAGTGTGGAACAATCATGATGTTAGAACCCTCACTACCTCCTTGATCTACATTCTGCTGTTTGCAAACATATCATGCATCTAATGCTTCGAACTCTTGCTTATTCTTGTATTTTCTCTCTTCAATACCATGACTAATGACTTCATAATTTTAAAAGCCTGAGGTTGGCCTAATAACCACCAGCCAATGAACCTTCTCTCCATCTCTTATCCTCTAAAGCATTTATCGGACCCCCCAGCCAATGAACCTTCTCTCCATCTCTTATCCTCTAAAGCATTTATCGGCTTGGTTGCTAATAGGAATAAAGATCGCCTTTATATTGGATTACCGGACATGAGGTTAGTTTGCTAATAAACCATGAGGGTGTAATAACCACCAGCCAATGAACCTCCTCTCCTCCCCTTATCCTCCAAAGCATTTATCGGCTTTGTTGCGGATAGAAATAAAGATTACCTTTATATTGGATTATCAGACATGAGGTTAATTTGCTAAACTGCGAGTTAGCTCGAAGCCTGGGAGAGAAGGCAAGTAAAGTCTGAGCATTGACCATGCAATGATATTTGCTGGGAAAAATAATAATCCATGAATGCATTGGCAGTGGGAACACAGTTGATAATATGATGCCTAAAACATCAACCCTCTATGTAAATTTACCTGTACCCAATGAGTTTGATGGCAGCCTCCATATATTGTATTGACCCACAAGTAAATATATACAGAATTGATAAAGCAATTTAATTCATGAAACCGGTGATATATACAACAAGAGATATACAAAACTTTCCAGGTTTTAATATCTGAATTTCCTCTAGGGCCATCTGATCTTATGGTAATTGTCTAGAAAAAAATATACTGAAAGAAAAGATGATTGTTTATGTTCATAAAAGCGTATGGAATGAATATCATCTATTAGACTGTTACGCGTGTTATTAAGTGATAAACTGTTTGTCATTTATACGGTTAATATCATAAAGCACATCTATCACACATGATATTCCACACATGATATTAAGTCATAACCTGATTGTCATTTATATATTTGAAAATATAAGGAACACCTGCAACTGCTTGCCCACATGCCCCCTTCCATCCTCAGACACACACGTAGCACCGAATACATGGTATTAACCAGTCCAACAAAGAAGCTACACAAATCAAACACGTTAATCACCTGTAATTTTGTCAAGCGAGACTGTGCTGAAATTATGAACTGATTGTGATGTTCCAGTAAATCAGAAATAGTGTCCTCATCACTGGCGGAAACTGTTTCTTTCTCAGCAGACGAAACACGCTCTCTCTGTTCAGTTGGTATAACATGAGAGCAGTTAGTTATTCCTAATCAATCCAACTAAAAAAATTGATCAACTAGTAAGCAGTTTCTGAGAAAAGAATTAACAAGTATTTACAACCATAATTGCACACACAGTACAAGCAGGGAGAGTAAAGAAAACGATCCGGATACAATATGTGTAGCATATTATGATTGACATAGGTACAGGCTTTAAGTTTGAAATTTTCTCCAGAAAGCACAGCAACAAAGCTTATTATTACATCTTAGTAAAGGTGAGATCCAGGCTATAAATATGCTTTAGGAAATTAAAGGTGTACATGTAGATAAGTGTGGTCCAAACAAGTGCCAAGACTAGTGGGAAAATGATCACATTGCCACAGCAGATGCACAAGATTTTACTAGGATAGTGTCTTGCAGAACATAAGCCAGCTCAACTCAATGGTAAATGCTTGATGATGGTGCTAAATTATCCACAGCCATATTTATAGACCAAATAAGGCACTTATCAACAATAATACGGAATGGTATTAGCAATGAGCAGAAGTTTCAAGCAAATCGGTATATTAGTCAGTTACAAGAAAGCAAGTACTAATTTATTCAGACAATTACAAACACCAGACACCCTGAAACAATTTGCTAATGGATCTATACTTACCAGCGCTAAGGTTATAGTTAATTTGGACAAAATCAAAATTACAGTGCACTATGAGATGGAAAAATAGGAAATCAAAATAAAATGAAACTCAAGAGAAATCATACTGTATATGAGATTTTAGTATTGTGATTGATCTCAGAAGAGTTGTTGGGTGTCATGCACTCAAAGCTTGGTGGTTGTTCGTTCCTTTCCCAGTTTGCAACAATTGATCTTGTTCTCCCTAACCAGTTCCCAAAAATTAATAATCAATGGTGTTCAGTTTATTCACAACCCTAAGCTGCCAATAGTAGGAAAATGCATTACCTCCTTTCGAAACTTCTAATGAAGAGAAATGTCTGGGCTTAAGCACTCGACCATCATCTAAAACAAAAAATAATAGAAAAACTTACTCACAAGAGATATAATTTGTCTTCAGAAAAAAAAAACATAACACGTAAATATTTTTATATCCACTCTAAATGCTATAAAACAACTGCAGTGCAGATTAAATGGTCAACTAACAGTTAAAATTGCAGGAATATTCGTTAGATAATTAATAGTTGGAATTAGATATAACTGCAAAAACACCGAACTTAACAGTTGGAATGAGATATTACTCTAAAAACACCAAACTGCATATCTTAATTTTGTTTCTGAGTTATATTTTTTAAAATTATGAACCTGCTTGAATGCATCTAGTATTACATGGGCTAATTAGTGATAATCATCCCTGTTACCTACTACCTCGTGACACAATTGTGCAAAGACTTAAATAGCATGAATGGTGAAGGATTGGCAAGAGCATACTTAGCAGATAATGATCAAATTCATGAAATTGCCATCCTAGCTTGATAGATATTGCACTAATCACTAATGTTTGTGTGAAGTTGGTAAACGTACATATCCAACTACCTTAACCAACTACCAATCTCAGAGTGTCTACATCAACAACCTCACAGTTAATGGTGAACATGTTACAGTATCACTGGGTAGTGAGACGAATTAGTCTCATGTTAATATGTCGCTAATCGCTATAATACTACATGACAGTGAAGATTGATATAAAGATAACAGTATAAAATGTCAGAAAATTGAAGTTCAAATTTTGTGTATGTTCATATTAAGGCCAGGACAACAACTCTCATCCAATGCCAATGAGATGGGACTAAAACATCATTAGAAAGGGTGTATATTTCCCCATAGGAAAGAGAGGATCACAAATTTTGCATATGATGGAAATAAAAAGCTTAGCCAGTAAAATTGACTGTAAACATGTTTCATTTGTAACATTTGGAAGGAAAAGGAGTAGAAACGACTGTTATATACACTTGTGAAAAGAAAACATACAATTTTCTTGTTGGCAATTTGTACTTGATTCTGTCAGTTGACCAACTCCCATCTTTGCTGATCCGACGGGTCTAACTTCTTCTAGGTTCCTTTCAGCAACAATCCTTGACCGATTAACACCATTGGTAGCAGAAACAAAATTTGGCTCCATATCTTCATTTTGTTCTGTGTTCTTATTGCCCAAGAATCCCGATTGACCAGAAATGCTTGATCTATCTAAATCACTCGCATTCGACAACTTACGGAGATCAGATAACTTTGAGTGGACATTATACGGTATTGTTCTTCCAGCAGTGACGTCCCTTCTAGAATCAGAGGCCATTTCCATTCTTGTGTTAGTTCTGGGTACAATTACAGGTACCACATCAGACTTGTTGAAAGATGGAGGATTGGCTGTTCCATGATATTTTGATGAATTTCTTTTTAGGACTGTATTGCCAGGCTGTGCTGCTGGATTTACTGCAGTCACTTTTGGGCCAGTTCTTTGAGGGGTATTGGGGGCACTGCCAGTAGCTTCAGTTAAGGAGAATGAGTTGAAAGAGAAAAATTAGAAGTGGTTCCTTATGTTTTCAAGCTATATAAACATAGCACAGAATGAAAACTTAAGTAAATTGAGATGATTGATGATAGCCTACATGCTGTAGATTTTGCCTCCTTAGCTCCAGTATCTGGATTTTGTGAAACTGATAACCTCCCAATACCAGCTTTTATGCTGTTGTCAGCTTGCAGAGACAAAGTACTACTTGTGGATTTTGATTCTGAACGACTATTTGATCGTCCAATACTTGGAACAGCATAAGGCTCAATCCGCTGTCATGGAAGATGATAGTGTCATAATTCATCTTTTTGACTTAAAACTGTTGATCTTATAAGTTCGCCTACATGACAATTGACAAGTCAAACCAATGATATTCAGAAGGAAATTTGATTATACCGAGATGTCAACAACCCATACTCCAACACAACTTTGATTGTAAGAGCACCCCAGAAGTTTCCCCTCATGGATGTTCAGATCTGACAGTCTAGACCATCCCACATCCACTGCATCATGGCACCTTACTGGCTCCCAAGAGAAAACCTGGAAAATATACATTAAAGTTACATGCATAAGCGGAAGATAATGGACAATCAAGCTGATAAACATTCTGAATACAGAACAAAACAACAACGCTTACCTTCAGACTTTCATGCAACCCACAAAGAAGGGTTCTACCATCAGGGTTGAAGGTCATCGAGCGTACCCCTGTTGTCTGGAAGAGAAGCTACTAGTGAGCAATGTTTCCACTTTCTCTTATATAATATAACTTATTCAAATAAAATTCATCAATGGATATTAAAAAAAACATGCTTATGGAACAGCAAAGATAGGCATCCAATTAAAAAAGCCAACATAAAGAGGAAACCAGAAATTCACTAGAGTTTCTCACAAGCTATGCTAAATTCTAAGGTGATAAAATACCTCAGGTCCTGCAGAACCAATCAACTCAAAAGTTTCAAGATCCCAAAATTTAACTGTTTTGTCAGCTGAACCTGTTCAGAACCAAAAAAAAAAAAAAGTTAAAAACAAACCAGACAGAACTGAAATTTCTGAAGGCATAGACAGGAAAATGAAGTAGACATCTGAGTTCTAGTATGGAGTTACAGTGCATATTTCAGTATATACAACAGAATCTGCTAGTGTTTGATGAAAAAACTTTTCATGAAAAACCAAGCCTTGGCTTGAACAAGAAATAGGAAGGTAATAGGAGCACCCTTGGCGGGACTGATTCCAAAATAGTAGTGTATGTAAGTAAAGCAAAGTCAGGGAAAACAAACATGAGCAAAATGGACTGTATAGCTGTCTGCAGGTTGGATGTTTGGAGAGGCATAATAATGCATTGGAAAGTCAAAGCACATCCACATAAAAATTTTGATACTTTAATGGAAAAGCATGATTTACTTAAGTGATTTTTTTATTAATGAAACCTCTCAATTAAACAACTTTTATTGGAAATATTCCTGAACACTTATCAATAATATAAAAGGATGCGGAAGAGCAACAGACCATAAATGAGAAACCGATGCATGAGAGCATTTTAATGGGCTGTTATGACATACCAAATCAAACTAGAGATATACTTTCAGGGTTCATGCACATTGACTAGAGGAATCATAGAAGTCATTTAGTTGGTAACCATTCAACTTAATATAAGGTATCAATATGAGACATCAGACATAATTAAAAGTGCCGCGTGCATCAGCTGTCTTATTATATACTGTCAAACAGCTTGCAAAAAGGTTAGTGACTTATTCAGATCATAAACTTTTGTTCCATCTCTTATGTCTTATTTGTTAGTAAAGTTTTATATGCCAGGCTGGTGTTGTTTTATAGTCCCTGAAAGCTGTATAATGTACAGAAATAAATGTTGTAGAATCAGTTTTACTTTTCAAGGTGACATTTTTAGAAGTCATTAGTTTCTTTTCCTAATAAGGTTAAATTCCCCTCTACTCCAATCAAACCGAATTTATTATCTAGAGTTGGATATAAAATAAATGATACTGCACTCCCAAGGTTCTGCAAACAAAGTATTAGGAGCTTGATGTACAAAAACTATGGGATTCTGTCATAAATAAAAATAGTTGATATCCTTGAGCTTGAATATGGGACTGGTTTCCTCTGGGAGAATAAGGGCTAGAGGATTGTCTATCTTAATCTTAGGATTTCTCACTTCAACAGTTGATCCCATATAAGAAATAACTGACGACCATTAGCTTGATCAAGAAAGTGAAATCTTCCAGAACAGGTAATGAGGCTAGTCTATCTCTAGCTTATGATTTCCCTAGAGTTTCAACTTCCATGGACATGCATACATAAGTTTTCTTGCTCTAAATTGTTCCTACATAATATACATCATTGCCTTTCTTAAGTATATAAGGTTACGAAATAATATTAAAAGCTTATCTCCTGTCTAACAAAACATGAATATTTTCTATGATTCTGGAGAATGGAGCTACCCTATCCATACCCTATGAAAATGATCTTTTACCCATAACATTGTATCCAAATAACATTTAATTTAATTGCTTGATGGTTTTTATTTTCCGTGATAAATTGTACAATTCATCATTTTCTTAAAAAAACTGAAAGAGGAATTTATTGAGGTAATAGGATTTTTTTCAGCATGAAACCTTAGCATTCGCAATGAAGAAATCATATAAACAACTGAACCGTACTTGCCAACATGAAAGGACTTGGCTGGGAATTGCATTCCTTCACACAGCTTGAGACAGGTTGCATGCATCGATGCACGTCTAGTCGCATCAGCATGAGTTGGTATAGAAGGCTTGTTCACACTACCAACCAGAAATAAGGTAAGTAAAGAATGCTTCCGGCGTGATCCTCGATTACGTATTGATGCATAACCATACTTTTACGGTGCGGTGTTTCCAATCTTCCAGCTTATGTAGGCCCATGACCACCGGCTAATAGCGACATGGGTTCCTTGGTGACCGTGAGATAGGAAAAGGTTAAAGAATTTTTTTTTTAAATTGTAATTTGTTACTCATTTTTCCTCCGTTAAACAGATGATATTGATACAAATCATAAGCCCTACTGTTATGGTTATCTTCACCTGTTTTTGGTAACTTCCCTCTTTCACCATCTAAATCATATAGAAAAAATAGAACAATATTAATCTTATTTAATTTTCAAAACAACCCATCTTTCTACTCATTCCATGTGCTAGTCCCATGATACTAAACCGAACTTACCAGGATCACAAATCCCAAGCTTGTCTATGAAGAGCTGATCTAATTGTATCAGTTTCTATGATTGATTTCTTCTATAATACTAATTGATAAGGACTTATTTATAAGTGCTGCAATATCTCGTGCATCGGAATTGGTTCATATTTCTCTGCTTATCTTCTTCTAGACTCTAGCCCTCTGCTTTTTTATTCTCTTTGCTTACTCATTTTCTTCATCGATTCATGTCCTGTTTATCCTCTTTAACTCTATCCTTAAACAAGTAGAAAAACCACTATTTATTAATCTTATACCTTAAAAAAACCACTACTTACTAACCTTTTACTAAAAATCACTACTTATTAACCTTTACCTTCTATACTAATTACTACTTTTAGGTGACTTGAGTGTTTGTTAGCTTTATCGTATCAAAAACCAATACTTATGTCGTATACAAAAGCATAACTAAACCACAACAAGGTCTCCCTAGAGTTTATTTATCCCAAAAACATATAGGATCAAATTATTAGCCGAACCACACAAAGATCCCAGTATCGAATTTATCCCAAAAACCTATATCTGCTTAAATAAGTAGCCCTTATACCAAAGGAGGTTATACATCAACTAGATAACATCTATCAGGATCCAACGTGAATTCTCATTAATTCATGTCCCCACCTAAAAAATGCAGCCCTATAGAATGCCCAAAAGTTTGGTTATATTCCTAGGTAAAAGTTTTTTTTTTAAGTTCCTTTAAGAATATTTTCCTAATGAAAAAATAGAGTACACAGAAACAGACTCTACATTGATTTGCTCCTGCTGGAGGATGTTTTTCACCTAGGTTCTTGCTTATAGTTTGACGTGCTGCTGGACCTTTTTTATCCTTTATCCCTGCCCGCTTTTCCAATTTAGGAGATTAAGCCTACTCCATTATCTCATTAATTGCAAATGGTGCTATTTTATTATTTCCCTCTCAATAAATACAAATCTGTATCTTATATAATAATTATTGTTTTTCTTATCCAACCATCCAACATTTGCTAGCTTACATCAAATCACCAGATATTATGGCAAAAATGATGCTCTTTATTCTCGTTCTAAGCTGCATATGCACAGATATGTCAAATTCGTTTATGGCAGAAGCTGCCTCAAACCAAAAATCAAGTTTAATGTCATCAATCAGCCCTTGTGAGAATGTATTATCTTCTAGGTATCTGCATCGCATGTTCACCACAAAATCTATCATGTAAATTTAAATCATGGCAAATCATGGCGGCATATTAACTTTATAAGTGACGGTCCATTGAAAAACTTTCTTAAAAGTTACTAACAATGACAATTCATGTGAAGCTATAAGATACATGACCTGATCCTCCTAATTGCAAATTTGCAATCATGTCATCAATTGTCTGAGTGGATCTGACTTCTTTGATTTCAAGCTAAATATGCATTTTCTCTATTTCATAAAAGAATTTTGAACAAATAAGGAACTCAATTGGTCCATATTTATAACAAAGCGACAAAATCCAATAGGTTATAGTAGGGGGGAAAATGAAAGATGGATGTAAATTTGAAAATGATAAATATTTGACAAAAATCATAGTTGTTTACAGAAGTAGATTCAATAGAATAAAGAAGAAGAAAAGGTGAGCAATCTGGTAACTGAAAGCAGGTTAAACTATTCTCTCAACATCTTTAACCTTTAATGACAAATCTAAACCAAGAAATTGATAGAAAAGCTGGCCTGATCACTGCATCATGGATAAGCTACTAACTCTCACTCCCCTCAACAACCCTTCCTGTAAATTTGAGCTCATATCTATTTCATCTGCACTGAATCTAAATTTTTTATCTGATAATCACATGATTTAAAAAATACTGAATGTTAACCTCAATATCAAAGGTAACATGCTTAAATTGCACTTTATAAATACTTTTTTTTTCCTTTAAAAACAGGTGTGCTTATCCATGATGCAGCACACCTTAAATTGCTAATCTTCTCCTTAAATTGCCTAATTAGAGGAGAAAACCAAGATAGAAAGCATGAAGATCAAATTATTACAGTCTCGCCCTTGGTAGTGCTACCAATGTCCAAATGCGCTAACATATAAAAAGTCCAAGAATAACCAAATGGGCTGCTCAAACTGACCTGTTGCCAACAGAAACTCATGGGGATGAAAATCTATACACTGAACCTGTCCTTCATGGCACTTGAAATCATGCAAGAGCTTCCCAGCAGTCAGATCCCATAGCTGTATAAACAAATTTCCAGCCACACTAAGGGGTTGTGCTAAGAGAAAAATTGTCATTTACATCAATAAACTTCCACATTGTCCTTAAATATAGTGTTTTTCTGTTAATACACAGATTGCATAGGAATTGAATTAGTAAATCCAAATGTAATACCTTGACAGTATTGTCTTCTCCACCAGAAACAACCCACCGACCATCTGGCGTAAATCTAATGGCATTAACTCCTCGTGTATGCCCCTTATACGTATGAATGCATCCCTTTCTTCTGATATCCCATATCTTGAGATTTGTATCCAATGACCCAGAAGCAAAGAACTCTCCAAATGGATGGAAGTCAACAGAGATACAATTTGACCTATGACCTGTGAGAGTGCGAACAACTGCCCAAAACAAATACCAAATCAACCTTAGATTAATCATTCACTTTTCACCTATAATAAAAAGGGTTTTTGGCTTAAACCCATTCTTTTACCCTGCTTTGTTCTTAAATGCAGCAGCTTCTAAAATAATTCATGCACCCAGAACACCAAACCTGAAATATTTTTAAACCCATATTTGATATTTGACCCCTTGATATAGCATTCACCTAATATTATGTTTACATTGAATCATAGCATGTTACACTTTATAGCATATTAACAAAGAGCTTGGGAATTTGGGTGTACGAATGGTTTTTGAAGTGTGTGGGTTACAAAAAATTAATTAAGGTAAGAGAATGAGTTCAAAATAAAAAAACCATAATAAAAATTATACATATACTGAAAAGAAAATCTTAGATATTTACTCTTTGCCTCCTCTAAATCCCACAATTTGATTGTCCCACTAGCTGCTCCTGCGGCCACTAATACCTCCGAGGAATCAAAACTTACTGACTCAATTGCGCTCGTATGTCCAGATAAACTCTACAAATCATCACCCGATGAATAAAGCCATACAAAAATAAAGAAATGACATAAATTATAAAAATTCATTAAAAAAGAACATACCAATATTGCGTTAGGCTTGCCTATAGCCCAAAGATTGACCTTGTGATCTTCACCTCCAGTAACAAGAACCCTAGAAGTCCTCCTCCCAATCTTAAGACAGTTCACATTCGAAGAATGCGCTACAAATTCCTCTGGGTTCGAACTTTGTCAAGGACAACAAATCCTCAAAAACCTAAAAGATCTCAAAAAAAAAACCCATAAAAATTAGCCGAAAAATCAAACCCAGAAAAGGATACGTAGCTTGTACGCGCGCTTTGTAGTAGCCATCGAGCTGAAACTGTTCAAAGATCCAAGAATCTCGAAACCCTAGCTCACTCATTCTAGGCTCGACCACCTCCGACCTCGATCGATCTCAGCGCCGCGACCTAACATCTCGATCAACAAGAAGAAGAATGAGAAAAGGGGGAGCTTTCGCTTTTTGGGTTCAAAAACACCAACTTTTTCTGCCCTAAAAATCCCCCCTTTTATTTTCTCTGCTGCTGTTCAATTTTTTTTTTCTTTTTTTCAAAGCGTGCTAATATTCTCCCTCCTTAAGTCGGGGGCTTTTTTTCACAGTATGAGGCTTTGTTTTTTGTGCTCTTCTGTAGTTGACTGTTGTTATGGATAATTTTGTACTTGTAGTCCTAGGGCTTGGTCTAAAAATGTAATCTAATTATGGGTTAGATATTTTTTTTAGATAAATTTAGAAAATATGTGTGTGCCTATGAAATTTAAAGATGAATCTAAAATTAGCATAGTATTTGAATACTATATTAAGAATGGCAATGCCTCGTGTGATCTTTAACAAGCTCGAAACGTTACTTTCTTATTTTGGATATCAAACTTTAACCGCGGATATTATCAGTCCTGTTTCTGAGCCGCACAACGGCGAATGAAATTTCTATTTTATCACTTATTATATCCATAAAAACGGTTATATTTGAAAGCAGGCTCTCAAACTTTAGTGCCATAAAGATGTTTTATGTAATTTTTGTCTTTTACTTTTTTTTTATTTTTTTATTTTTTTGGGTGAATGGTGCCTTAAACCAGGTAGCTCACAAATCATCAGAGTCTGTGAAACATGTGGTCACGTGGGGACACGCCGGTTCCAAAGCAAGGGGTCGCTCAGGTCGAGCCATCCGATTCTTAATTATGCCATCTACTTTGGGTTTGGATCCGTAGATGCTCAAGGCTTTTAACTACTGTTATTGATATTAACCTGTAGTTACCCATTGCTAACCTCAACGTATGTTAATCATGGTGAAATTATGTTTAATTTATTTGTTTTTTTTTCAAGAAATAGATGAAACCCCAAACTAGATCTAGATCGTTTAGGTCTTCGATGCGTCATGTATCGTTGCTCATAATTTCTCTTCTCGTAATTTTTACGAAGATCACCACTAGGCTGATGATGTACAATATATTTACTTGATTCATGTTTAAAACCCATGTAGTGTTGGTCTGAAATCAACGTTGTTATTTAACGAGGATAATAACAAAGCTCGCAAACTATACTTTGCTTCGTTAAAGATGGTTAGAATAGATTGTAAAGCGATGAACACTATGATTGGAAATGAATTCTTTATGGTCAAGTTTAATTGTTATTCCACCTATTATAATGAGTTTTTTTTCCCCTCTAACCTTCTCACAAACAAGTACCTAATCCACATTGTACTTCAAACCAAATGCATATTATTTATTATATTAATATTTGAAATTGACAAATATGGAACGGTAAAAAGGGCTGACCTGACGTGTGAAGAGTGTCCTTTAAAAGATGCTCTAAATTCAATAATAACTTCAAATAATTTGATGATTGTGTTTAATTAATCTTGGATCGTGTTTTGCGGAATTATCCCTCATTGTAGGGCATAAGTACGTCTGTACCCACCTTTTATTGAGCTTATTATTGTTGCATATGAAAAAGGATGATTGTGACATCTCTCTTTTTAATTTTTTATTTATTTTAGTTTCTGCCTTCTTCTTCTAGGTTTAGTAAGCAAAGCTACCAAAGAAACCGACAGTAGGTTCAATATCCAAATTGGAACAACACTTGAAATCTAATACTATTAGGGGGTGTTTGGTTCGTTAAATTGGGTCAAGGAAACTTGTTTTGTGGTTTCTTTTCTCAAGTTTGGTTCACAAGGTAGTGTGCTGGGTAAATCCCTTAAAGCTCACCCAAAATCGTTTCATCCATTTCCACTCAAAACGAGTGGAAATCGCTAGGAAACCCTAGCCGCCTCTGATAACTTCTCTCTGGTTTCTCTCGTTGGTTTTTTAGGGAAGAAAGAAAACGTTAGGGTTACCTTCCTTGCCTTTCTCTCCCTGCCAAAAATCTCCTGCGGCCTTCTTCGTCATTGTTTTCTTGTTCGTCGTCTTTGTCTTTCGACTTATTCGTCGGCTTCTTCGTCGCTGTTAATTGCTCGCTCGTGAGTTCCTAAATTTGAGTACTTTTCTTTAAAAAAATTTGTGGTTCAATTGTAATCGCCACTTCTCTCTCTCTCTACAGTCCAACATCGGGAGCTCCGATCCCTAATCGCCACTGCAATCTAGTAGTCGATTACCTGTTAATAACTTCCGTATAATCAATAGAAGCATTAAAAAAGAATTTATCAATTTTTTTAATGTCTGCACGTCGTTGTGTTTCTGAATTTTGAAAATTTCCTCAATTATTAAAATCTTTACCATGTAATGATGATTCCCCGCGTTTTCTTATTTTCTACATTTTGTTTCTTGTAATTGACCTAACTACTCAGTGTCAATTACGTACATGTTTGGTATTTCCAGTTTTGATGCGATTTTCTATGTCATATACATATCTATGACTAATCGGGTTCTTTATAGGTTTTTACAGGATTCATAAGGATTTTTCGCTAATTCGGGTATGTATTTCATAAAATTATGACTAATCATGTTATTACAAGTTTCGTGTGATTATTTTCATGTCAAACATGTTTCGTGTGATTTTTCATGTCAAACATGTATTTTTCATGTCAAATCAGGTACGTAGTTCATAATAGTCACAATAATCATGTTATTACAAGTTTCTTATGTTTTTTTTATGCCAAACAGATATTTATAGTGAATTCGGTATTTACTGTTTTTTCATGTTACATTCGCACTTTTATTTTGCTAAGATTAACTCTCATAACGATCATATATAAATTTTTTTTAGTAAGGGGTAAACTTACCATGATGACCGTATACACTTTTTCCTATATACTTCAATACCAAACACAACAAGAAAAGTGGGAAATGTCTAATCAACAAAAGTTTTTTCTTTTTTTATACCAACCAAACACAAGAAAATGTTGTACATTGGTTTCCCACCATGTTTTATGTGTGAACCAAACCTAAACAATCTATTTCTTGGAAAAGTTTGAAAACCCCAAAACTTGAGTTTCTTTACATGAGATTGTATTTCCTAATATGGGGCTGTTTTGTTGTTTTCCGAAAAAATCGGAAATAAAAAAACTCACATTTCAACTCATTTCAAGACATTTCCCGCATTTCTTTTTTGTTTGTTTGTTTCGCAATGAAATCACTATCACGTCACATAAGAAACAAATCCATCAGCAATAGTAACAGTATTCCGATTTTTATTTCTTGTGTTTGTTTTAACATAAAAAAAGGAAATGGAAATCAGGCGCAATAATAATAGTGTTTTCAGCAATTAAATAATCTGTTTTATTCACAATCATTGTTTCAACAGTATTTTTAGTAATTAAAAATTCATTGAAGTGACATTTCCAAATGTTTTCAGAGGTTTTTTGTGTGAAAATATTTTTCTCAAAAATCTGGCGTGGCATCCTACGTGACACCCTTATTTCTTTAAATCACAAAACGAAACAAACATGTGATTTAAAAATCGGTTGAAACCAAAATCCTACGTGGAGGGGGGGTTTCTTGAAATCCGACATGGCCGGGGGTTCTCATTTTTTTAGCAAACAAACAACCCCTATATGGAAAACGAACCAAACAGCCCTTTAGAATGAGGAATATCTAATCTAGCTAAAGTAGTAAAAAGAAAAAGGGAAAAGGGAAATGTTGGAGTATTTAAAAGTCAAATAATTATACAAAATGCTTTCAGCACTAGGAAATATGTAAAGTACACTATTATAATCTTGAAATATATTTAAGTTAAACAAAATTATTGGATTGCCATTAATTGTTCACGGAAAATGAGTCAGGAAAAATTTTAATCAAGGGATTCTATACTGAACACTCAAACTATGTGGATAGTAAATTCAAAACAATGATGCTAGATGGGGTTTGTGTGCAATTAACCCATTAAAATATTATAAAATATAATTTACGCCATGAAAAAGCATAGGAGAAAATTTTAAAATCAACCGTTTTGAGAATTTAATCAGCAAAAACGACATTCTCCCTTAAAAATGAGCAAAATCAACCGTTTTCAGCCCTCGCGGGCAGAAAACGGTCGATTTTCCTGAAGGTTTTTTTAATTACACGGGACTACTAGCCCCGTATAATTAGGGTCTGTTAATCCATCATTAGTCATGCCAAGGACATGGAAAATGGACGAGACTACTAGTACTGTATAATTTGGCCGCTTAACAAAGGCTTTATAACTACACGGGACTAGTAGTCTCGTGTATCGCAAAATGCATTTCAGCAAAATCGATCGTTCTCTCATGACGAGCGGTCGATTTTGCTAATTTTTTTCTAATCGGGTCGTTTTTGCAGATTAAATTCTCAAAATGGTTGATTTAAAAATTTTGTCCAAAAACATATTCAAAGAAGACAAAAGGGTTTTCTTAAACCAAAAAAAAAACTAATTATTTAACCCTTTTCATGTTAAAAAAGTTGAAAGATTGCACGGGCCAATATATTGGTAGGAAGAATGAATGTTGAATCACAAAAATGTGGTGTTTGAGATCATGCGGTTGACCTGTCCAAATAATGAGCCTGACCTAGCTTCTTGCTGCCTAGATCTTATTCCAACATCTCCTCTATTTATTTCATATTATAATTGGAAGAAGCAACAAAATAAAAGGAAATAAAAATTGACATTTCAAATTGATATGTGCTATACATGGCTTTTTTTTTCCCGTAGACGTACCTACAACAGAGTTACAGAGCATTGGAAGAAATGAATGTGTATAAATATAGTTTGAGCGTCCAACTAGCAAAGAGTGTGAATTTTGAATGGAAGAACCACAAGTAGGTTTGTGGAATATTAAGTACACCGGTATTAAGGGAATGCTTGGGAAGGTTTATTTTTTAAATCTTATAAGTTACACTGGCTTTTAATGACTTTGGTTTTTTTTAATAAAAATACTATAAAACTTATTTGAGGAGGATAGTAATTTGCTTGGCCAAACCTAGCTTTTTTAAGTGAGCTTATAAGCTAGTTTTTTTTAAAAGCTAGGGTATAAGAGCTTTTTAAAATAAGACTTATAAGCTAACTTATTTAGCATTTTACCAAGCATGTAGAAATTAAAAAAAACTAGTTTAAAAGCTTGTTTGACCAAAAAATAAGCCTCCCCAAACACCCTCTAAGTTAGCACGATGCTACATGTATTATTTTTTGATGTATATCTA